TGGTTTTAACCAATTTCTGGCACTGACACTGTATTTAAAGCTTGACATCCATAACAAATTTAACATCCTCATTCTAAAATGTGTTTTTATAAAAACACACTGGAAATCTGGGCTATTCATGTAAAATGTGGTTTCATTCATTTCTCTATATTGTATAAAAGTGAGCAGCCTCGCCTCCAAATCCTATTTACTACTATGGAAAGGGGGGAAAAAAAGAATTTTCATTAAAATCGAACAACGGGGCTATGAAAGAAGGAGGATTATAGCAAAATGCCCTTGACCGTCTCTCAAAAACAGAACCAGGCCCACATTTGAGGAATGCCAAGTGATTCTCATTAAAGTAATGAGAATATTTTCAGTGACATGTGTCTGACCGACTTTAATTTAGTTGGCAGGACTCAAGGCAGCCAGAGACCCAAAAATAACACACAGCCAACAGTTCCTACTCAAACACACCTAACAGACGTAGTTCACACTGTTTCAAGGATGCCCCACCCTAGACAGACAGGGTGTAAGGTCAAATGCAAATTGTTGTGGCATTAAACACACAGTCCTGTGACAACACTGACAGGTCAAATTTAATAGCCTGAGTTGCTCGGGCTCCCCCTTCATAAAATTCGCTCTCACTGGTCAGGGTGAGCCGACAGATTTGCGGGATCCCAACCCCTGCCCCACCCAACAAGCTGAAGTTATTTTTAACTTACAACTACTGCTGATAAGTATTAAAAAAAAAAAATACCCTTTCAGAAAGAGAAACTATGAACAAACAAAATACCAATGCATTTTAGTGAGAAATAGTCTGTCTCTCAGCCAAAACTATAAACGAATGTCATTTTGGGGTAGAAAAAAAACAGAGTACTTTGTATTTATCACGTTTTCCATCATTTCTACAAACAAATTCTCTAAACAGCCTTGTGGGGCAGTGGGCAGGCTGAAATTATGTTGAGCTTACCTTTGGAAATGTAGTCTCCTGAACAGAATAAGGCCCATTTCCATAGGTCAAGTGCAGTTAGTAGTAACGTATAATAGGCAAGCTATCATTTCGTTGGATAATTTACTCCAACATAAGCTATTTTTCCCACATCTGGAAATTAGCCAAGTGAGCTATGCTCCATGCCCTCAAAACTTAAAATTCGGTGGGTAGACGTGAACATAAGCAAGTCAAAGTTGGAGGAATATTCATGATCATTGCCTAAAGGTAAGAATATTCATTATCATTGCTGCTGGCCCCTTGATAGGCACTTTTATATATATTATTTCAATAAATCCTCCCAACACCCTTTGAGGTGGACACTCTCATTATTCCCATTTCACAAATGAGGAAACTGTGACACAGAGAGGTTAAGTAACTTGTCCAAGGTCACACAGCTATTTAAGTGGAGAACTATGATGTGAGCCCAACCTGGGAGCAGATAGGGTTGGAGAGAGACCTGGATACCAGCTTGAGTTTCACCACATACTGGCTGCCTGACCTTCAACAGGCTACCTAAATTTTCAGAGCCTCAGCTTCCTAGTCTACAAAATAGGGCATAACGATACCCAGCTTATGGGTTTTTGTGAGAAGTATGAAACAGGATTACATTTGCAAAGTGCCTGACACAGGGTCTCTAGCACCGCTAGCATCTGCCATGAGGGGAACAAACCTTTAAACACTCAAAACTTTTTTTACCTAAGATGCTACCTTTTAACCTTCTATGTGTCTCACCAACTGGAAAGGAGGACTCAGCCTCGCAGGGTAGGACTTGGGGCTGCCCACCCTTCAGCCTCCCTCCCCTAAGGAGTCCTGAGGAGTCATAAGATGTCGACAGATGAAGACATGGGAATCACAGCGTCCCAGAGTAGTTCAACCACATTTTTGGGGTTATTTATTGGTTGCGAGTCACATAGCAAGAGCTGTCACAGGCACCACGTGACTTAAGCACTGAGACACAGCCCTACCCACAAGGAGATTGTCAGGCCACAGTGGAGAAGCACACACATTTTAAAAAAATCAAATACCCAGCATATCATGTGGACAGTCTGTTGCATGAAGCTGTTGGGAGAGGCAGGGGGTCAGTTTCCAGGCTAAGAGACTCCCCATCGTGGTGCTCACATGGTGTGTCCTGCTCCAACCATAAGGCCACGCTGGTCCTCCACAGTCTGTGCCTTGTGAAATTCTTAGAGCATCCTTCTGCCTCTCGATCTTCAGTCCAAAGCGAAGACACTGACACTTTGCCTTTGGGGTTCTCAAGGCTCAGTCATGATAAGGCCTCCACTCACAGAGACTTTGCAAGTCAGGCCAGGAGCTGATAGGAAGGTATTCTACACATGGCCTAGCACATTCTTTATCCTGAGGGGCTCAGCATGCCAAGGCTTCCCAGCAGAAACCATGCGTTTGAAGAAGTGTCAAGTCAGATTTTTCGGGGTGGAGGAAATCTACAGCAGTCACTGACACTTCAGAAGAAGGCTGGGTTAAGAGAGGAGAGCCACACTTTTTTTTTTTTTTTTAAAGAGGATAGAACTGAGGGACCTTTTAAAGAGGATAGAACTGAGGCTTCCTGAGATTAGTTCTTAGCCAAGGGGTGGGGGAGGGGGAGTGATTTCCTACTTATGCTTGAATTTTAAAAGTTAAAAAAACTTTGACAAATTTTCCGGCACTCAACTCTTCATAGCTACTGGCTATGTAACAAAAGACCACAGCAGTCTCAGTGGCATTAATAAACACTGATTTTTTTTCCTAAAGTAGCTGTGGGGCAACTGGGGTGTCAGCTCCATATGTCCTATCCTGGAACCAAGATTGGAGCAATGGCTACCCATGGTATATTCATGCCATGGCATTCGCAGAGACACAAGAGGGCAAGACCAACGAGACAAGCACACACACACATCCTCTGCTCACAACACGTCCACCAGCCCCCCACTGACCAAAGCAAGTCATGTGGTCAAGCCCAATATCAAGAATCAGAGAAGTTTAAGGGCGGCTGGGTGGCTCAGTCAGTTAAGTATCTGCCTTCGGCTCTCAGGTCATGATCCCAGGGTCCCGGGATGAAGCCCCGCATTGGGGTCCCTGCTCAGCAGGAGAGTCTGCTTCTCCCTCTCTGCTCCTCCCCCTGCTTGTGAGCTCTCTCAAATAAATAAATAATCGTCTTAAAAAAATCAGAGAAGTACAGATCGCTAGGAGGCCATGGGTCATGTGTGTAACATTACCAAAGAGGAGTAAAGAGCTATTACCACCAATCCCATTTACAACACTCACTAAATAATCCTGAAAGGGAAGCATTAAGGCTCTATCTTTCTTCTGAAGCTCAAAAAAACTGAGCCTCCAGATTTTAAGTCATTCATCCAGGTGAGATAAGAGTATGATGTTCTAGCAGACTGAGAACTCAAATCTCGCCTTCTGTGGTATCTAGAGTGATGTAGCTTGCCAACATGTAACTAACAGGCATCCGTAATAATCACATCCCTTAATGATGCTCCCTTGCAGAAAGCAGTTCTCTCCAACAAAGGCCAGACCCAACATTGTCCCATCTGTTAGCCTGATCATAGAGTTTATCATTTGTTTAGGACCTTCTGCAGTGTTTTTACAAGCTTGACTATCACCACACTAATAAATTATTTATGGTGGGAAACCTGAATCAAAAGACTCTGGCTACTTGAAAATAGACTTTATGAAAACATCTCTTCCCCCCTCCCAACATGCACCCTCCCAGGGCACGCACAATTTCTAAGCCTGAAAGTTTGCACAGAGTCTGTGGAACAGAAGACGCTTGCAGATGGCTGCGAGGAAGGAATATGGAGAAATTCTTGAGCATGCGATTTTAACCTGAAGCGACTGCTTTGTGCAATTTAATCGCTCAATAGATCAGACTGTGAAGCATCACAGCTAGAAGTCAGGAAGGGCACGAAGCTATCCTGGTGCAGCCTCCCACGGCCTCCCATTCATCTACACACACAACAAATAGCAATGGAAGGTCTAGTTTTGACCTGGCAAGGTGCTGGGCCGCCCGCTGAACAAGACCGACCAGCTCTCAAGGGGTTTACATTCTGCAGAGACGGATGGAGAGGGACGGATTGTTACAAACAAAAAGTAAAACTGAACAGGCTAACTTCAGACTGTACTGAGGGCTGTGAAGCAGCTAGCCATCCTGGGGAAGTCACTGGCTTAACTCATCTATGCGGCCCTCTGTGCCCTCATCTGGAAAACCGCGTAGCTCCCCCACTGGCCGCCTGCCCCAGTTTAAGACGATTAGGTTAAGGAGCTAGTCTGTGAGGGTCTGGGCACCTGCGCCCGGGCAGGGCCTGCTCGCCGCACTTCTTTAGTCCCCGTCGGTCGGGCGAAGGGGCTTTCTGCGTCCCTCTCTCTGAACGCTCACCGGAGCCAAAACAAACTCCTGGCCTGGTCGCTCCCTGAGAGACATTAACAGCCCCGAGGTTGCCGCGCCGCGGGAAGAAGGGGAGGGTGCAGAGGTTCCTCCAAACAAAAGCTCAGCCCCCGGCGCCTCGAACGTGCTCGCGACGGCGCGGTGGGCGGCCCGGCGCCCCCGACGTGGGCGCTGCGCGCTCAGGGCGCCGAGAGTAGGGTGGGGGACTGTCCCTGCTCTCCACTCCCACCCCGCGGGCCTAAGATGCCGCCTGGCCTCCCGGTCCTTCTCCTTCCTTTGCCACCCTCGGACCCGGGCTGGCAGCGGACCCGCTAACGACAGTTTGGGGGCTGGGTGGGGTAGGGGCTACGTCCCCTTCCCCCTGACCGGGGGAGGGGGGGGTGTGGGAGGGGAGTTGCCGCTTCCGCCCCAGAGCTGGGTTGAGGCCAGGAGGCTGTCGTCCCCCTCCCCCAGCCCTGTGTCCAGCCGCGCCGTGCTGTCTCCCCCACCCGCCACCCCACCCCGTTCCCTAAGGGCTGTTGTGATTGCGGGACTCGATGTGACTGCTCGGGGCTGGGGGGAGGGGGTAACCCCTCCTCCCCACCCCCGCCCAGGAGTGACCCAGACGCCGCGCCGACCTCCTTCCTGCACCTCGCCAGCCCCGCAGCCGCGGGAGGACGGGGCGCGGCTTCCCGAGAGCCGGGCTCGGCTCGCCCGGCGGCGGCAGCTGCTGCGCCCTGGGGGCGGGGAGCGGGCGCTGGGGGGCCTGGAGCGGAGCGGCGGCGGGAGCCCCGGCCTGGCAGCGCGGCTTCAAGTTTCCACCGGCGCGTGGTTGTGCAACCGCCAGAGGAGCGGGAGCCGCGGGCGCCTCGGAAAACAAGCCGAGCCCATAAACAAAGCCACGTGGGCTCGGGCGGGGGGGCCGGGCCAGGAGCAGGCGGCTCTTCCGGCAACAAAGGGCCGGAGCCAGCGGCCCGGGATAAATACTGCGGCCGCGCTGGCCGCGCAGCACTCCCGCCCGCCCCGCGCGCCCTGCGACCCTCCCCAGCGCCGCGCCCTCTGCGAGCACAGGACCCGGCTCCGCAGCCCCGAGCCCTCCACCCGCTTCCCTGCAGCCGCGCCCTCGCCGGCCCCGGCCCCCGGAGCACCCGCCTGGGGCGACAGTTCCCCGAGGCCGTCCAGCCGGTACGGTCCATCAGTCCGCCGAGTCCGTCGCGTCGTCCCCGGTGCCATGCCATTCCTCGGGCAGGACTGGCGGTCCCCCGGGCAGAGCTGGGTGAAGACGGCCGACGGCTGGAAGCGCTTCCTGGATGAGAAGAGCGGCAGCTTCGTGAGCGACCTCAGCAGGTGAGTGGATCCGCCACCACCTTCCAGCCCAGCGGAACAGACCTGGGCTGATTTGGGGGTCGCGAGGCGGGTGAATGGTGGGGCAGGCCGGACTGGGACAGAGTGAGGAGGGAGCCCCGGGCCGGGAGGTGGGGTGGAGGGTGGAATGGGCGGGGGTTGGGGGGAGTCGACCCCTTTCTGAAGAGGTCGCCAGAGCACGGGATTTGGGGAATTTGGTTTCTCTTGTTCAAGGTCAGCGTCTCCGAGTGGGCACAACTCTTTACAGAACCCCGGTCCCTCTGAGAATCTGACGACAATCGCGGATTTTGTCCGCAAACGTTCAAACTTAAGCACACAACTTCAGGGGACCCCTGTCTTAAGGACACCAGCCGCGGGGGCGCGGGCGAGTGGGCTGCGCACCTTTCACCGCTGGGGCGGTGGGGCTTGGGGCACCCAAGCGAGGTGGGCACAAGTCGGGTGACGCGATGGGACCTGGGACCAGCGCCCCCAGGCTCTTCCCACGCACAGGCGACCGCAGAGTGGGCAGGGAGGATGAGTAACCAGGAGGGGCGGCCAGATGGTCCCTGGGGCACCGGCGCTTGCGGGGCGACGTGAGGAACCGGGGTAAAGACTTGCGGCTGCAGAGCTGCGGAGGAGGGAAGGGAGGCGGGACTGAAACCCACAAGACTTCTGCTTCTGAGAGGACGAAGCATTTGCACCTGTTTCCTCGGTGGCCCTTTCGGTCAGTTTCCTGGGGGAATAATTTCAAGTGACGGCTATCCACTGCAGAAAGCCCACCTGAGCTCTGTCAGTCTGGTGGAAAAGCCGAGTTACCCTCGATCGCGTGCTCTGCTTGGTTAATAACGCAGGAATGCTGTCTAATAAGTTAAGTGGTCTGGAATCTGTCAGTCCCGGATCTGAACAGTTGACTTCCAGATCCCCGCCATTTGGCACAGGTGAGGAGGGCAAAGAAAGTGGGTCCCCAGGGGACCAGTGCAGCCTAGCCATCCTTGGGTGCCTTTTCTCTCAGCCTTTGGTTGAAACCACTGGCACCAGAGCCCTTAAATTGGTTTTGGTGGAGGGGCGCCTGGGTGGCTCAGTGGGTTAAGCCGCTGCCTTCGGCTCAGGTCATGATCTCAGGGTCCTGGGATCGAGTCCCGCATCGGGCTCTCTGCTCAGCGGGGAGCCTGCTTCCCTCTCTCTCTCTGCCTGCCTCTCTGTCTACTTGTGATCTCTGTCTGTCAAATCAATAAATAAAAATCTTTAAAAAAAAAAAAAAATTTAAAAAAATTGGTTTTGGTGGAGAGTTCTGTATCTGGACGGGGTTCCCATTTACCGAGATTTACCAATGATTTTTTTTTTTTTCCTGAGCCCTTGGCACTCAATTTTAAGAAAACTATCAAGAAAGTATGGTTATTTTGATAGCTGGACCTCCAGACTGTCCCCCAACCCCACCCCAGGCCAAAGTGTCTGTGATTTGTGAAATGTTAAAACTCCTTAGTCTTCAATGAAAAAACAGAAAACCAGAAAGCATTTAATCCTGGGGGTCTTTCAGGAGAGATGAGAGCGTGTGTAACTCTTATGTTAAAGACACTTTGAGGCAGGTCCTGTGGAATTTGGGGAGCAAATAAGAAATCTTACTTATGGAAAATCAGATAATTTACTTAGAGCAAAATAAAAAGACCAATGGCTGTCACTGGACTCTTCCCTTTTAGGGATGCAAGTCACCAATGATGCCTAAATCATTCTCCCTAGACTAAAAGGTTCCTTCCTCCTCTTCCTAAGGAATGATCTGATAGTTCAGTACTTTATTTCTGTACAGCAGTTCTCAGTCTTTGTTGGGGGGGGTGGTGCATCAATGATCTGCTGAATGGTGTCCCCGTGGCTCCCCTTCTTGTAACTGTAGGTTGCAGACCCCTAGGCTCATTCAGCAGGAGAGGATTCAAACTCTAGAGCCTCTGGTTCCTATAAATAGTCACACTTTATCTGCTCCAGGAGATAAACTGCTGTCAATCCCCTTAGAAGCAAATAGTGTGCCTCTCTCAAGGTAGTATGGGAGACCTGAAGTTGGTTTCAACTTACCCAAGTTTAACTGAGGCTGGGATCAGGTAGCTTCACACCCCTCTGTCCCCTTCCTGAGCCTCCTTTCTTTCCTCCCATTGCCTGCCCTCTGAGCCAGAACTGTGGCACCACTGAAGTTATCACAAATGGTGATCAATACACAGGTCCCGACCCTCTGAGCTCTTAGATGAGTCAGAGTTTAGGAATCATTGGGTAGCTCCTAGCAAAGCAGCCGCTGTTTGTTTGTGGAGTACTTTTTTTTTCCTTCACCAATTGTAAACAATCCCTTCCCTACTTAGCCTGAGACGTCTGCCAACTTGTTAAAAGCAGTTGGCCTTCTGAGACCTAAGTTTGTAGTCTCAAATATCCCCACTGTTTTTAGCCTTGGTGATGTTTCTCTGTGATGTAAGGTTTGGGCTGAACGCCTGCCTACACAGGTGAAGTTGAATGCCTCTCCTGTTAGAAAACAAAAGGCAGACCCTTTCGAAAGGGGGAGGAACGGGTAATAAAACAGAGAACTACAGAGGCAGGGTACACTTCTCTAGTTCCAAGTAACCATCCCGTGAGCTGCCTGAAGGAGAGTCAGGAACAAAGCGCGCCTTTGGTGTGTTCTGACCTGGGGATAAAGCACACCGTGTCTGCACCACACACCTTCTCTGACTCTGCTGGCCGTTGTCTCTGTGTTCCAAGCCCCGTCCCTCTCCAACAGCACAACAGTACTAAGTCCATGACAGCTAGGAGCCCCTTCTCACCAACAACCCCCTTGCTTCCCCCATCCCCAGGAGGAGTCAACTCAGTGGTGTGTGAGAGCTTCAGGCCACACTTCTCCAAGTCTCCAGTTCTGCACTAAAAACTCCCGTGTTGCTTTCCAGGATAGCTGAGGCTGAACCAGGAAGCAGGAAGTTTACCTTGGTACCCTGGATGAGTAGTGCAGGAGATAAAAATAATAGTTCAGATTTTTATGAGGGCTTACTGTGTGCCGGGAAGCCACTGGTCTGTGAGCTTCGTATATTAAGCTGTTTGTTTTACCAGAACAATCTGGCTGCTAGCCAAGGGAGTTTGACCATTTGGGTATGTAGGGGAGCAAATTAGCATAGAAATCTCACAGGCCTTACTCTACAACTAAGCCCTTTGGGGCAGGCACAGCTTTCTTAGATGGTCTGTTAATGCAAACAAAATGAGAAATAGGCCTCTTTGTTCCCTTTCCTCCCTTTTTATCTCCTCTGCCCAAATGGTCTTAATTTTGAAATCTTTCCACCTTTTCTAAAGTTGTTTTTCGGTATCTTGGTTATGTGCCTGTTGACAGTATAGGGCTGGGAGAGGTCTTTTTTTCTTATTCTAGGCCTGTGTCTATAAAAATCAAGATTAGTAAAAACCGACCACAAAATAGCAACTTTAGTGGATATTATTGAATTTAATGAAGAAAGTAGACTCTTTAAATAGTTTTGCTTAAAAAAAAAAAAATTAAATGTCATGGTTCCTAAATGGTGGTGGCTTTTCTTGTTAAAATTTTCAGTTGTAATTTTCCATTGGCTTTGCATTTCCTTGAAATGGATGAAATTGAACTTTCAAAATAGCCTCTAACTGAATAAATTATTGCTTGACAGAAAACCTGTAAGCAGGCAACACAAATGAATCTCCTAGCCCTTCCTTCTAGGACCTACCTCTGGAGTCCAAAACCTAAAAACTAAGAGAAAAGTGCAGGCTTTGTCTTTGGTTGAAGTTTATCTACATACAACAGTGGGAGAGCATCCTCAATGATGTCAAATTCTTCTTAAACTTAACTTTGAAAATGAGTCACTTGGGCTTAAAGCAGATTATTGTCATTTCAATAAGGAAGGCGGGTGCTCAAATTCCTTTGAGTAATGTTCTCAATTAGAAGAGAGTAAGAGAAACTATAAATATTTAAAATTTCTGGAGAATGGCCACAGTCTATGGTCCAGGCTCTGAAAACTTTCTGCTAAATCTCAAATGTGTGATTAAGAGAATAAGGCTGATTTATTTTATGGTTCTCTACAGGTGGAATTTAGGCTCCCAGTTTTTGTTCAGAGTGCAGAAGTATGTTTTCTTTAAAAATAAGCCTTCATGTGGCCTTTTTACACACAAAAGGCTCTCCCTTTGCTTTCTAAAGCTGTTCTCAGCTTTGGTATATCCTGGACCAGTCAAGTGACCTTCCCTCTGTTTCCCTTCTTCTCAACTTTGATAGAAATTTCTTGTTGGCTTTAATGACTCACTGTGAAACCTAAAAATATCCTCTTTCGCCTGAATGAAAAGAAGAAGGCTGTAGCTCATAGGAAACCCAGTAAATGGTATTAAACATGACCTTTATAGGGCAGATTAACAAATGATTATTTGGCTCAGGTCATGATCTCAGGGTCCTGGGATCAAGCCCCTCATTGGGCTCTCTACTCAGCAGGGAGTCTTCTCCCCCCCACCCCCAACCTCTGCCTGCCTCTCTGCCTACTTGTGATGTCTGTCTGTCAAATAAACAAATAAAATCTTTTTTAAAAAAATGATTATCCATCAAGCTCCTCCCCATGGGCCCAGAATATTGTTGGTGATATCCCATGTAAGCATTTATGTAGCAAGATACTTACAGAAGTGCTACCTGAGAGATTGATTTCAGCGACAGGATACTGGAAATTAGTTTAAACCCTCTTTTCTCTTTTACTATTTCTATAACGTCCGTGGAATGGAGAAGTGCAGGGGTGCCTCCTTTTACCCAATAGCCATATGTCAGAAGATTTAAAGCAAATCCCCTTTTAAATTCAGCAGAGGGACTCTGAAAATTAAAGGACTCTGATATATTGGTGATAGAAGAAAAAGGCCCTAATTTATGTTTACCAGTGGGCATTAGAAATCCTGCCTCTCGCATCCATACCCATGGGGTTTGGAAGAGCTACTCACTATTCCTCAGTATTTCTCTGGCATCCCTTCTGCAGAAACTCTTCAGAGACGCACTGCAAAGTTACATGGTTGTACTAGCCTAGAACTCAGCCTCCTGATGGAAATATGCACCTGACCCCAGGGGAACTTGTGTGTCCTTCAGTGACCTGTGATGGGGACAGTTCTGTCTTTTCAGCCCTTAGAAACTTAGGAGCTGTGAATTCAGCTGGTTTCATTTAGGACCCAAGGTCTTCACCCCATAGCATGATGCCTAATGTTAGTCACATTAGCACTGTATACAAAACATCGCCTAGAAATGGAGGGTGTAAGTCCGATTTTGGCAAATGTGATCATGTTTCAGAGGCATGACAGAAGCATGCTCGTTAAAAGCCGCTTGGGCACACTTTCAATGGGTGGATTGTATGGTATGCGAATTATATCTCCATAAAGCTGTTTTTTTAGAAAGCCGCTTAGGGTGGGTGCTTTTGCAAAATGAAGGCATTGTGGACTACAGTGATACCAGTAATCCTCCCTCGCCCTCCCCCCCGCTGCAGTCATCATTTTTGCTTAAAGTAATATTGTAGTGCCCGGCATTGCCCTTGGTTAAAGGGTACAGGGCTGTGTGTCGGACACAATGGCAGGCACTGTTGGAAATTCAAAAGACGCAGAAGCCCCCATCCCTGCCTTCACAGAGACGCGAGAATATTTCACCCCCAAAGAGGGAGGTCTGTGCCTGCACAGAGTTCTTTTAATGGGGGTTTATTGTTTTGTTGGAGAAGATGTATGTTTGTGTTTTATAACCCAGCGAGTTATTTATAGAAACAGTGCTTACTAGAGGATCGCTATCCCAGCTCATCCCCTCCTCTGTCATTCCTAGTTACTGCAACAAGGAAGTCTACAACAAGGAGAATCTTTTCAACAGCCTGAACTATGATGTTGCAGCCAAGAAGAGAAAGAAGGACATGCTGAATAGCAAAACCAAAACTCAGTGTAAGCCATTTGCTTTGAACTTGGAAGAAGGCTGTTTGAAGATCGCTAAGATGGGTTCTTTGTTGGGGAGAAAGAAAATCAGACCCCAAATGTGAGACATCTGCTTTAATGTTGACGGTGACATTGACAGAGGTCCTTGGGATCTCTGCAGTCAGAAAGCCGGCTGTGCATGTTACAAGCAAGATTGTGTTCCTTATAGACTTGTTTATAAGTCAGCGGGTAGTCGTGGTGTTTTTCTCCTGCTGGTCACTTACATCCGACGTAGTTAATTTAGTTACGATACAGGGATAGGGCCAGCTGAATCCGTTCCAGCATGTGCTTTTATTTGACACTGAGCTTTGAGGCTTTGGATATAGATCTGTTTCTCCCTCTTTCCTTGCATAAATCCCATTACGCTTCAAAATGCCGTACATAAGAGTATAAAGTTCTATTAATAAGCGGGAATTACAGCTCTTCGGTTTAAGCCACCTGGACAACATGATTTCCTCATGTTATCTGCTTTATTTCCACTTTTTATGGCCTTGCCTAAGCTGTAGGCTTGGCATTTAAAACAAACTTGTCTTTGGATATTCAGTTTTGTTTTTTTTTTTCCCCAATTTGGAGCTTTGGTCCTCTAAGTCCGATGATCCAAGATGTACAGTGCTTTAGACCAAGTGGGCTGTAACACCAGTACACGTCTGCTGCAGAAATCGGGCATTTGCATCTCTTAGATTGTCCGTAGAGTCTGTCTTTTTTGTCAAAATGTTTGACACATTGGATATGTGAAAAAGAAACAGGTTTAAAATTTGGGGCATGCTGCAAATTTTAAAGCTGGGGGGGTTTGTTTTTAATTTTTTTTAAGTTTTTATTTATTTATTTATTTATTGCCTCTATAGATTTCCACCAAGAAAAATGGATCTATGTTCACAAAGGAAGTACTAAAGAGGTGAGCATCCGTCCGTTTGTTAAAGAGTATGCGTGGCTTTCGGCCTCTCCCAACAGGGTAGAGAGGGGAAGCTGGGCAAGAATATTACTTCAGGTCACGGCCGTTGTCCTGGGTGCCGGTGATGATGGCTGGCAGCCCGCCACCTAGCCGACCATCAGAGTTTAGGTCTCCAGAGAGAGTGAGAAGCAAAAGTCGCTAAGTAGACTCCCTAATCACTCGGTGAGATTATGTAAAATGCTTTATAAAGATTAATATACCCATCTCAAATGTATTGTTATAAAGCCCTGGCCTTTCCCCCAGAAAAGTGCCTCTCTTTTGTTCTGAGATCTTTTCGGACTCCAACTTTGTTAAGGTTTAGCCCTGGAAGGGCCCATTGCCAAACACGGCAGAAGTTTTTAACAAGAGTGTGCAGGGGAGAAGACACAGTAAATAAGTACATTCGCATGACACTTTATAAAACCCTCTTATGTGTATTTTCTCTCTGCACGGTCATCTGCTCCAATACCTAGGATACAACACAGTCTGGTAGAATGATAGAATCTCTCTGTGTCAGGGACCTTGGTGAAATCTACATCCCTGCCTGTTTGAGGCCCTGCTGGGGGTGGTGGGGGAAGCATGGACCTACCCATGACCACCCAGATACTGGGAGCAAAGCTGGGACGGAGTCAGGGCTCTCTGCTCCCAGTTCCTTGTGCGTTCACAGGTAAAAGAGCAAAACTTCCTTTTGCTTCCTCATGAAGCCTTAAAAATGCTTGTGATGATCACAATGAGAAAAGCACTAAAGATCCGAGGCAGGGTAGCAGGCAGGCTGACCCTGGGAAGTGTAGTTCCCCTCCCAGGAGATGTTACAGTGACCCGCTAGCATCAGGTCACCCATCATACATCCAACTCCCAACCTTCCCTTGATAAGCAACTACTGATGATCTCCCCATTCAAGTCTGTGCAAGGGCTCAAATGGTACAAATCTTGAAGAGGGGTGTGTAACGCATGAGTCACTGGCTAAAGCAGCTGCTGGCTATACCCCACATCGCTGTGGCTTGCAGGGGATTCCCAGAAAGAGCTGCTCATGGCACAGGAAAGCCACAGGTGGCCATAGGTTACCTAAGACCAGCATCCAGCCTATCAGTAGAGTCCGGGGGGGGACTGTTCTGGAGAATGACCTCTGCACCCCCTGTTTTCACGTCCAGCGCCATGGATATTGCACTTTGGGAGAAGCTTTCAACAGGCTGGACTTCTCGACAGCCATTCTGGATTCCAGAAGGTTTAACTACGTCGTACGGGTAAGTCTCTGAAGGTTACAAGTGTCGGCTGAATTATCTTTTCGGGTTGTCTTGAGGTCGTTATCTGCCCCACCCCCTGCCCCTGCCCCAGCAAAATAGCTTCTTAGGACCCTGGGAATTTTGAGGAAAGCAGAAAACAAACTTGTCCACTCCCTTCTCTCCAGATGTACTTTAAGTCCTTGTGTGGGTCCCATTAGGGCATTCCTGAGATTGGCTGTGACAGACAGCAGTGGCCATAATGCTCATGGGAGCCACTCCCAGCCCCCACGGATAAATGGAGACACATTGCGGGCAGCAACAGGAGCCAGAGCAAATCCAGCAGAAAGCCACACCATGGCTTGTTTTAAAAACCTTCCTTCCTCGGGTCGTTCCCACTGTCCTCCTCCTTGTCCTGCTTGAGCGGACTCTAGGTGACCCCAAGGCAGTCGTGGTTTAGGCTACAAAACCAGATGAGTTCAAACACCCCAATGCTTCCTACCCATGACTCCCTTCCACCCCGTGGGATGACATTCAGTCTCGTGCTCACCAAAGCTTGAAACTACCTGTTTGGGTCACTTGCTTTCCATTTGAAACCATATGTTTGGGCGGGGGAGGGGTTAATGAGTTTTAGCAACATATTAGTGTTACTCCATTAATGAATGGAGTAAAGCAAATGAGTCTACCCATGCCCCTCAAGTCTGTGATTCTTTTTAACTGGTTCATTGTTGTTGCTTCCCCCGTTCTTTGGTCTCTTGTGCGTTTCTGTCCGTGGTTCAACCAGGGAGGTCGCGGCTCAGATGTTTTAGGCTCAGAAGCAGGAGAGAATATGCTCACAAGGGGTGTTGATGTGTTGGGTTTTCATTCTTTCTCCTGGGTTGTTGTGCTGCTCTGTGCCGGGTCACGGAGTCCGATGACAGCCACGGCTCAGCCCGAGTGATGACATCAAGCCCCCTTTGAGGCCCGGGTCATTCACCTGTCATCTGGGCAGATACAGGCCTGGCTGTCCCAAGCGACCTGATACGCAGGCCTCCTTGGAGGTCAGAAGCTCTGAGCTGAGCCTGTGACCACTTGAGCAGATCTGTCTGCTCTCAGCTGAGCCCTTACTGCTGTCCAAAAGGGATGAACATGAGAGACCTTCTGGATGAAATGTCCGTGTCATTCAGTGTGACTCTGCCACTCCAGGGAGATCACTGTGGCCTGCAACCTGGCCCAGGCTGGCTGGAGAGAGGCCCAGCAAGAGCTGGAAACTCTGTTACTAAGAATATGAATAGTTTCCATGTTCTAGATGTCAGGGGAGGACACCCAGTTCTGATGTCTTAATTACAAACGGATCAGCAAAAACGGTCCAGTTTTAGATGGTTCTCCTTCCTACCTGTTTTTCCTTTCCCAAGAAATAAAGCAAAGGGACAAGACTACAATAGCCAAAATCTATTTCCGCATAATTCCGTACATTCACCTTTATCCTTCCATGAACCCTACGAAGTGGGGGGACTTTGCTGACCCGTTTAAACAAACGGAAGTACTGCAAGGTAAAATGACCTGCCCAAGGTCACGGAGCTGTGTAAGCAACAAAATTGGAATTGGAAACCTAGTCCATCTTAGAGTCCACACTCTCCGCTGTACAGTGGGTCATCTGCAAGCAGAGATGGCAAAGTACAATGGTCTGAGGTCAAGCTATTTCAGGCCCTACTTTCTGCCTATTTCAGCCTCCCTAAGCCTCCTCTGCCCCTTCGGTAAGGATTTACAACCACCTCGCAGGGTGGCTGGCCACTCAGTAATGTATTTTCTATGGAAATACCCTGCAAACCAGAACCTGTTATTCAGGGTCTGCTACAATATTTATTACTACCTACTAACCGAAATTATTAATTCTCCCTAATATGCCTTTTCAGGCCAGCTGATAAATGTTTTTCTCCTAAAAAAAAAAAAGGAAATCTTGCACTTGATAAAGACCCAGGATAGAGAGCTTATATCTCGTAGTATCTACTTGTAAACTATGAGCACTTTTCTGTAAATAATCTTTAAGTCAGAGAAACTGCTACATGCTTTCGGAGTTGTCAGGTTCAGCGGTAGTGGAAAAATGTTTCTATTTTGGAAAGAGCCATCTTTTTTTCCCCTTCACTGTTCGAGTCCTCTATAATTTGAGAAATAATGTTATTTTCATAAAGAGCTTAAAACATTTTAATGATAGGCACTGCATTTTGAGGGTTTTCTACTAAGGAACTCTATGCACATCTCATATATTCTTCTTATCCTTAAACCAACTTTGCAGAGTAGCTTGCCATTATGTCCCCACCCCGTCCCCACTCGCCCCGCATCGGACTACTTCTACCTAACGGCTTCCTAATACAGTACTACAGTGACTCCTTAGTTCCAGTGAATGACTGAACCAGCTTCAAAAGCCTTAAGGAAAAAAAAAAAAAAAAAAAAATTTAAATTTCTTTAAAGCCAAGTACATTTTTAAAAAATGGGTTGTGTTTATGCTGGCTGTCACCTTCAGAAACAGATCATGCAGAGGAAATAAAAGAGATGGCTAACACCCCTATTGCAAGATTTCATAATTTTTATCAGTAAATATGAAAATTTTATGGAATTTCTTAAATCAAAAATTTTAACAAACTGGAAAGGTTCTCATACAGCATCTGTACCCTATTTCCATAGGCTTCAGGTTCTACTCACTGTCTTTACCCTCTTCCCTACACACGCGTGATGGCTTAAATACAATTTTAACTGTGGGTTTTTTTTGTTTTTGGTTTTTTTTTTTTAAGATTTTATTTATTTATTTGACAGACAGAGATCACAAGTAGGCAGAGAGGCAGGCAGAGAGAGGAGGAAGCAGTCTCCTTGCCGAGCAGAGAGCCCGATGCGGGGCTCGATACCAGGACCCTGGGATCATGACCTGAGCTGAAGGCAGAGGCTTTAACCCACTGAGCCACCCAGGCGCCCCTTAACTGTGGGTTTTAAAGAGGATTTAAACCCTTTAGAGGCAACGACTTACCCATTTATGAAAGGTCGTTTTAAAAAATTGGTTTCCACCGTGCCTCAAGGCCAACACAGCTTGGAGCTGGCGAGGATTCCAGGGGCTGGGCTGGTGGCGGGCTTGGCACTTGGTCACCACGAGGAGGGGAGAGCTGGTTAACGCAGTCAGGGCACAGCGCGGCTAGTGGGGAAAATAGGTCTCCAGTAAACCGGGAGAGGGTTTTGGAGACCACACACCGACTCCTGGCTCTCTGAAGTGAGCCTGCGATGGCCCACTGGTTCTCATTTGAACTGGCTGTCCATTAGAATCACCTGCAAAGCCTGTTGGTCTACAGACGCCCACCTCTAAAGCATCCGATTTAATGAGCTGAAGGTGGTGCCCACACATTGCTTCTTAAATTTATCCTTCAAGTGATCCCTGTGTTTTCAGGTTTGAGAACCAGCTCAAAAAACTCCCGGGAGCCCAAATGCCATAGTTTGCACACAGTGTTTTCAAACAAGAGACAGGGAGGCACAAAAGAGGAGAGGATTTTAATGCTTTAATGCCAGGATGACCTCTGAACTGGTCTCCCAGCTCGCTTGGGCGCTCTCTCTCTCTCTCTCTCTCTCTTTTGGCTCTTGATGCCCCCTCCAGACCAGCAAGGTCCTGGAGAACACTGAGGGCCACTTCCTGACTGGAATGAGCTGACCCACAGGTGTTAGCAGATCAGAAAAGGATAAGCAAACGTTTGTAACCCCCCTCTCTAGCCCTCTGCAGCAAAAACGAACATCCCAAGCGAAACCCAGGCACATTCTTACTTCTTTTCTGCATTACCACCCTAAGATCATTTGAATGTTTCCAGCAAGTTACTGCATTCCTACCACCCCTAAAAGTCTCTTCCAAAAACATGTTTTAGTTTAAGTTGACTGGCGGTTTGGCCAACAAAAGGCTGAAATATGGCACTGTGACTCAAATTCAAACCCAATGCCTTAAATTAAGGGCATGCTGTTGCCAACCCCCTGGTGGGTCGTGATGTGCCTGACAAGCCCGGCCCCTTCACTGGGTTCCTCGGCTGCAGTGACCTTGGTTTAATTTGGCACTGCCCTAGACCCGGCACCTTCTTTGGGTGGAGGGTGGCCCCTGCCACCTGGGTCTTAAAACCAGGGGTTCTTTTTCCCCTGGGACAGAGAAGCTGGGATAGAGGGAAAGAGGCCTGTCACCCAGACACAGCAAAGTCAAAAGAACAGAGCCATTGTGAGCCTACTTGAAAGTGACTTGCAGAAATGATTGGGAATTAACATTTGAGGGCCCAAAGTGGGGATTAGGCTGCCAGTGCCACCAGAGAAAGTCTGTGTCTTAGAACTCCTGGGTTTCCCATTATATGTTAATTTAAAAAATAAAAAAAGAATTCCTGGCTTTCCATCATAATAAGCATTCAGGCTTTGCATAGCAGATCCTGCAATGTCTCGGTACCCACAAAAGTGGGGAACACTCACAGGCATGGGGGTATGCCCAGACAAGTGGGGAGGACCTGTGAAAATGAGAGGCATGGCCAGGAGCCCAGCATAGTGGTATTTTGGACCATGGACCCCAAACAATGTCAGCATGGACTCCCCATATATGTGTGTTCATAAATTCATCTGTGAATCACCTACCTATTAAAGGTGCTAATAATGCTATCTGCCCCGTCATGTTACCCAGAGAATTAAAACTTGATTTAAGTCCTTTCCAACAGTGCCTGGTACATGGTAAGAACTTGAGGAGAATCTCTTGTTGCCATTAATATCCTCATCTGTCGGGTCCTGATTACAGGCATTAGAAAACACACACATAGAAAGACAATAGAAATAAGAGAGATTAAAGATGAAATGGAGAGCTTGATGTTTTATGGTTTTTCTGCCTGCTTTCCTCTCCCATCCCACTTTGGAGACCGCAGGATCAAATTTTTTTCTTAAGGACTCTGAATCTAAACCTTATCCCACTAGGGGCCCAGAAATAGATTTTATACAAAAATTCAGTCTAGTTTCTAGGATAAGTCAGGGACTTACTATGTGGGGGGTGGGAGGATATCATA